TTAAGAACAAGAGGTCATAGATTTAAACTAGCTAAACACAGATGCCGAAGAAATATAAGAAAATTCACTTTCGCAAACAGAGTGGTAGATGGTTGGAACAAGTTAGGTGGGAAGGTGGTGGAGGCCAAGACCGTCAGTAGTTTCAAAGCGTTATATGACAAAGAGTGCTGGGAAGACGGGACACCACGAGCGTAGCTCTCATCCTGTAACTACATTTAGGTAATTACCATCCAATTCCAAGCTCATTTGCCGGCCTAGAGTAACAATTTCCTCAACAATAGGCGCATCATTTACAGGCTCAAACCCCTCAAAATCTAGTTCTGTCACACATTCAGGCCACAATTTTCTCCAGCCAGAGATCAGGGTTCTTTGAGTCACTTCTTGCCAGGCTTTGTCAATGAGTTTTAAACCACTACAAATATTAAAATGGTCTTTCCAGAACTCTTTAAGAGTGAAGTTTGTGGCTTCAGTCACTTCAAAACATTTCTGGAAAAGTGCCCTTTCATACAGTTTCCTAAAATTCGCTATGATTTTCTGGTCCATAGGCTGAATTAGAGGAGTGGTGTTAGGAGGAAGGAACTTTATTGTGAGAAATTTACTGTATCTGTGCATCAATTCATCTTCCAATCCTGGAGGATGAGCAGGAGCATTGTCGAGGAGAAGCACGGCCTTGAGTGGCAAATGTTTCTTCTGCAGATATTTTTCTATGGAAGGGCACACCACTTCATTCACCCACTCCGAAAAAATAATCCTAGTCACCCATGCCTTATTATTAGCCTTCCACATCACACACATTTGGGTTTTCTGCACTTTATACTGTTTGAAAACCCTTGGATTTTCAGAATGATACACTAGCAAGGGTTTAATTTTCAAATCGCCACTCGCATTTGAACACAGCACAAGCGTAAACCTAACTTTCATAGGCTTGTGTCCGGGCAAGGATTTTTCTTCCTTGGTAATGTATGTCCTCTTAGGCATTCTTTTCCAAAACATCCTGTTTCGTCACAATTAAACACTTGTTGCGGTAGGTATCCCTCAGCCTCTGCAAACTCTTTAAATTCTTCACTAAATCGTTCAGCGGCTGGTTTGTCTGAGCTGGCTGCCTCCCCATGCCTCGCAACACTATAGATACCACCTCTTTTTTTTAATTTTTCAAACCAGCCCCTGCTTGCCTTAAACTCTTTCGTATATGCATCACACGTTCCAGGGGTTTTCTTTACAAGGTCTTTGTGCAATACCCTGGCTTTCTCACTAGTACCGGCTAGTATCGGTCGTGGAGTGGCCTACACAGCAGAGCTGATCGGTACCTGCCAGCTACAGGCTGGATTGTGGTTGAAGGCCTCCACGACAAAGCACCCAGTGGGACTGTGATTTGGCTGGCCTGTGGCCAGGGTAGATTCGTCATAGTCATAGTGGATTCATCGTGGGCCACAGAAGAAGGAACCAGGGCTACCCAGAGTGAGCATCGTTGAGCATCCAGTGTCTTCGGAGGAAGACGCAACTGTACATACGTGTAGTAATAATTCCCGCGTGCGATTGTTATTTATTTATTTATGGTGGTGGTAAATATATATATAAATTGGAACATTTGTATCCCTCCCCCTTTAATTTAACCTGCATTACGGAACACACCCCTTGAAAGCCTCTACTAACTTGGGGCCGGATTCCCAAACTCTACTACCATCAGAGAAAAACTCGGTTGCGTTCTAGTAGGGCTGTAACAAGGTCCTCCGTGACACTCCTTCCCAGGCCTTATCAATCAAACGCAAGCCCCCATGATATTGAAGTGGTCCTTCCAGAACTGTTTGAGGGTCAGCTCTGTGGTGTCTATCACATGAACACATCTCCAACAAAGCCTTCATGTATAGCTTCTTGAAGTTAGCAATGACTTGCTGGTCCATGGGTTGGAGGAGTGGAGTGGTGTTTGGAGGAAGAAACTTGATGGTAATGAACTGATTCTCCGGGAACAGATCATCTTGCATTTGTAGAGGATGCGCAGGTGCATTATCGAGCACAAGCAAGGCCTTGAGTGGTAACTGCTTCTCGACGAGATAATTCCTCACCATGGGGTCGAAAACGTCATTTACCCATTCACTGAAGAAGATCCGTGTGACCCAGGACTTCTTGTTGGACCTCCACATTACATTCAGCCGTGTCTTGTGCACCTTACATGCTTGAACACTCGTGGATTTTCTGAGTGGTAGATGAGCAGCGGCTATAACTCGCAATCGCCACTTGCATTGGCGCAGAGCACGAGGGTGAGCCGATCCTTCATCGGTTTGTGGCCAGGCAACGATTGTTCCTCTTGCGTGACGTAGGCCCTCTTTGTCAATTTTTTCCAAAACAGCCCAGTCTCGTTACAATTGAAAACCTGTTGGGGCAGGAACTGCTCCCAATCAACAAATTCCTGGAACTGTGGCACAAAAGTCTCGGCAGCAGCTTTATCAGAGCTGGCAGTCTCCCCATGTCGCAAAACATTGTGTATTCCGCTCCTCTTCCTAAAGTTCTCGAACCATCCACGGCTTGCCTTAAATAACTCCTCATCTTCGGATGACGCACCTGGTATCTTCCTGACAAGGTCCACACACAGCAACCTTGCCTTAGCACAAACGATAGCTTCAGAGACACTATAGCCATGTAATTGACGTTCATTCATCCATACCAGCAGTAGCCTTTCAACATCATCTAGGAGTTTTGGATGTTTCTTGGTAACTTTGGCAACTCCTTTGGCCATGTCAAACATCTTAAATTGTTCCTTCCTCTTCAAAATGGTGCTAATTGTTGAGGAAGATCTGCCATACTCCCTGGCGAGATCAGCCACACGAACACCACGCTCGTGCTTTGCTATGATTTCCTTCTTAACAGTATCAATGGCCGTGGACGATGCTCACATCCACTTTTTTTTTCTTTGGAGTCCTAGCCGTGGACAGCGCTCGTATCCAATGCAAAAATATTTGTTTAAAATTCATTTTTTATCCGATCGACTTTGGAATAGTTTCAAAATAAGCGCCCTTAGAGTGCAAACAATTTGATACCAAAATGAAAGATGTAACACGAAACCTGATGTCAGAACACTTAAAATATTATAAATACATTTTTAGTCAAAATTTTAAAATATTTGTTAAAATTCTATTTATTGTGCTATTATTTTGAGACTAGTTATAAAATGCGAGCCTTTACATTGCAAACAATTTGATACCAAAATGAAAGATGTAACACAAAAATTTATGTCAGAACACTGGAAAGATATAAATAATTTTGTGATGATGAGTGTACAAAATTAAAATATTTGTTAAAATTGCAGTTATTGCTCTATTATTATGGGAATAGTTTTAAAATACGCGCCTTTATATTGCGAACAATTTGAAACCAAAATGAAAGATGTAACACGAAAATTGATGTTATCAAACTGAACGAGTGTGCACATTAGGTTGCGGTGTGCCAATTGGTGCTCGTTTACAGGTAACTTTAGGCTTTCCTGCGGGGAAATCACGCCGGGCTTTTGTACACTATATGCATATACACCTGCAGGGAATTTAATTGCGAACACAATGATACCAAAATGAACGATGTAGCACGAGAATTAAGGTGAGAAAACTGAAACGAATAAACACATGTTACTGATTTTGTACGCTCACGGGTAACTTTTGCTGACTTTAAGCTTTGCTGTTGAGAGTCACGCCAGGCTTTTGGACATTATATGCATATACACCTGTAGGGAATTCTATTGTGAACACAATGATACCAAAACGAACGACGTAGCATGAGAATTAAGGTAAGAAAACTGAATTTTTTTTTACACTGAAATTGGCAAAACTGAAGTTACACATTTCAGTGTCGCCACGCACTTGCCCGCACGCTCACCCGCACGCCGGGATGTGACCTCTAAGTTGGCGGCACGCATGCCCGGCACACGATAGTGTTAATGTCCATAGTGATTGGCTCTTTCTTTCCCTTGCCAACACCTTCTTTACCAAGCTGCTTTCTTTGCCGACATCGGGTGTTAAGAAGTGTAGTCACAAACTCACACATAACCCACGATTATCACAATTATATGTGGAACGATGCAGAGGGATACTGGTTGTGCGCGACACCACAACAACTCTGTCGTCGGAGGTGGCGCAACCCCACCATGTGGTGTTGACGTTATTCAAATGAGAGATCGCCTAACGAGATGAATTGTTGGCGATTGGGGCGCCCGATGATGACAGTGGCTGTCATCAACTATGACAGCTCGGTCTCAGTGATCGCTTGGACGAACAATCCTCACTTAATCGAACATTTGTATGGTCCACTAAACATTTACTGTAGTACCGAATTCAATTTGTTCGGATCTTCCAGGATTTAGCTAGAGCGGGGTTCGTTAGAGTGAGAAGGCACTGTATATTGTATTAACAGCAAAAACACTGTTTGATTGATCGTAGAATATAATATACATGTCACATATACGAGCCCCATAATTTTGAGCATAGCGATGTTCCATATTGAATTATATAAATTCCACCCTTTTGAATAATATTACAGCAAAAAATCTGGGAAGAAACGAATGAGAAACACCAAAATAATTGTGACAATTTATATTCATGGCAACTGCTGCCTCACGGGGTGGCGAGGCCGAGTGTTTCCGAACGCTTCTTCACTCAGCACCCATAATTTGCTCAACTTCTCAGCTCCATCACGGCGGCTAAAGTATGTCACATCCAATATTTTATTTTAGTTTCCCGTGATCAGAGACTACATTTTAACAATATAAGAAGTGAAAATAATTTTTAGGAAATAATTTATTTTGGCGCATGTCGGGGGTGTCATATTTTAATGCAGCGTAGCACGGTGGCTAGGTACTCTTTGAAACCTATGAATATTTTCTTCTACCATTCCAATTCCAATTCATTTAGTGCTGTATAAGGCAAATTACATCAACAAGATATAATTATAAATATATCAAATATCAGAGGAATTATTGTTTCTATTTAGTTCAGCAATAAGATGTTGTAACTCACCTGGGGTATCAGGAGACTATGAGTGGCACAAGTCTGAAAGGCAGTCTTTCTTTCATTTTTGAAGGATGGACCAAGCTCATCCACCAACATGTTTATACACTGTAGAACTTCTTTCCTCAACACTCCTGCACATGTAGCCGAATACATAATTACAAGAATGTTTTGCAATGAACTTAAAAATTAAGAAATTAGAAAACAACATTAATCATTACACACCATTTTTCACTTTTATCTGTATAGGATGTTAGGTTACTGTCTGGTTTAACCCCTGTACTGTGCTCACCGAGATATGTGGTTTAATGCGTGGTGCGCTCACCGAGGAATCTCATTTGAAGGTATTGCAAATGATTCAAAACTCCTGTGGGTACAAGGGGCTCACTCCTATTCCTCTGGTCTCTAGTAAACACACATCTTGAAAATCCCCCCGCTGAATATTCATCAACCTAGTTGATCGTTGAACACCATCTTCCTGACATGTCTACCTATGGTGCCATAACACTTGGTAACACTTGTATACAGTTATCACCTCCTGACATGTCTTCCTATGGTGCCATAACACTTGGTAACACTTGTATACAGTTATCACCTCCTGACATGTCTTCCTATGATGCCATAACACTTGGTAACACTTGTATACAGTTATCACCTCCTAACATGTCTTCCTATGGTGCCATAACACTTGGTAACACTTGTATACAGTTATCACCTCCTGACATGTCTACCTATGATGCCATAACACTTGGTAACACTTGTATACACTTATCACCTCCTGACATGTCTCCCTATGGTGCCATAACACTTGGTAACACTTGTATACAGTTATCACCTCCTGACATGTCTACCTATGGTGCCATAACACTTGGTAACACTTGTATACAGTTATCACCTCCTGACATGTCTTCCTATGGTGCCATAACACTTGGTAACACTTGTATACAGTTATCACCTCCTGACATGTCTTCCTATGATGCCATAACACTTGGTAACACTTGTATACACTTATCACCTCCTGACATGTCTCCCTATGGTGCCATAACACTTGGTAACACTTGTATACAGTTATCACCTCCTGACATGTCTACCTATGGTGCCATAACACTTGGTAACACTTGTATACAGTTATCACCTCCTGACATGTCTTCCTATGGTGCCATAACACTTGGTAACACTTGTATACACTTATCACCTCCTGACATGTCTTCCTATGGTGCCATAACACTTGGTAACACTTGTATACAGTTATCACCTCCTAACATGTCTACCTATGATGCCATAACACTTGGTAACACTTGTATACAGTTATCACCTCCTGACATGTCTTCCTATGGTGCCATAACACTTGGTAACACTTGTATACAGTTATCACCTCCTGACATGTCTTCCTATGGTGCCATAACACTTGGTAACACTTGTATACAGTTATCACCTCCTAACATGTCTACCTATGATGCCATAACACTTGGTAACACTTGTATACAGTTATCACCTCCTGACATGTCTCCCTATGGTGCCATAACACTTGGTAACACTTGTATACAGTTATCACCTCCTAACATGTCTTCCTATGGTGCCATAACACTTGGTAACACTTGTATACAATTATCACCTCCTGACATGTCTTCCTATGGTGCCATAACACTTGGTAACACTTGTATACAGTTATCACCTCCTGACATGTCTCCCTATGGTGCCATAACACTTGGTAACACTTGTATACAGTTATCACCTCCTGACATGTCTACCTATGGTGCCATAACACTTGGTAACACTTGTATACAGTTATCACCTCCTGACATGTCTACCTATGGTGCCATAACACTTGGTAACACTTGTATACAGTTATCACCTCCTGACATGTCTCCCTATGGTGCCATAACACTTGGTAACACTTGTATACAGTTATCACCTCCTAACATGTCTTCCTATGGTGCCATAACACTTGGTAACACTTGTATACAGTTATCACCTCCTGACATGTCTACCTATGGTGCCATAACACTTGGTAACACTTGTATACAGTTATCACCTCCTGACATGTCTCCCTATGGTGCCATAACACTTGGTAACACTTGTATACAGTTATCACCTCCTGACATGTCTACCTATGATGCCATAACACTTGGTAACACTTGTATACAGTTATCACCTCCTGACATGTCTTCCTATGGTGCCATAACACTTGGTAACACTTGTATACAGTTATCACCTCCTGACATGTCTACCTATGATGCCATAACACTTGGTAACACTTGTATACAGTTATCACCTCCTGACATGTCTTCCTATGGTGCCATAACACTTGGTAACACTTGTATACAATTATCACCTCCTGACATGTCTTCCTATGATGCCATAACACTTGGTAACACTTGTATACAGTTATCACCTCCTAACATGTCTTCCTATGATGCCATAACACTTGGTAACACTTGTATACAGTTATCACCTCCTGACATGTCTTCCTATGATGCCACAACACTTGGTAACACTTGTATACGGCTATCATCAACATATACATAACTGAGCCGATCATAGCCTAAATTGGGTTTCTTGTTCTATATACAGTACTGATGAACAATGTAACAATATTTCTAAATTAGGCTAAACATGTGGTGGAATTTACTTATATGTAATTTTGTAATAAAAGAATGATTTTACCTGTCATCCTCTCAATTACATTTGGAATGCTGAGACATTTTGAGAGCATTGATAGCAATTCTTCCTTAAAGATTTGCATCATATGTGGAATATGTTGTTGTAAGGCAAGGATAACCTCAGCTAGGTGATCTTCCATCATGCTTCCTTTGTCCTGAGAAGCAACACTGGCTTCCTCTCCCCCTCCAACACAGGCATCACCTGCCACATATGTATCATCACTGTATAACATCACTGCTGCCCCAATACACTGAATCAGATAGTCTTGTCTCTATAAAGAAAATGGAAAAAAGACCAGCATTGAATGTAATGAAACACCATTTTCTGGGTAAGCCCCGGAGGCTCCCTGGAGCTCATCGGGGTAATGTATGTTATATTAGACCGGGACATTAGCTAAGGAGTTCAGACCTACCAGGGACCAGCGCCAGAACCTGGCCCCTTCAGAGAGGTTTCAGGGAGCAATGGCCCTGGAAAACCCCTTTGTGGTTGGGGTTTTCCTTATCTGTCATCGACCGGGGTTAGGCACTCAGAAAGGTAGGCATAACAAAACAAACCCCACATGGTAAAAAACTAACACAAAAAACCGAACAGAGGTAGAAACTCCCTACAATCCCAAGGAAACAAGCAAACATCACACTTTACTGCCGCGCTGATCGTCCGCGCAGCCCTCCCGCCCCGAGAGGGAGAGTGGGGAGCCCCGGACCTACCGCGCCAGCTGCCTGGCATCAGTTCGGAAGCTAAGCTTCAACCAACGCGATAAAAACGCCAACCGGTAGGAGGAATGGTTGCCAGGGAGCCTCCAGGGCTCACCCAGAAAAAGGCGTTTCATTACATTCAACGCTGGTTTTCTGTGGGGAGCCCCTACGGCTTCCTGGAGCTTCATACCCAAAGAGAAGGAAAAGAAAGGGCTGACCCGGGAGGAAGCAGCCACAAACTCCGCACCGCGAAGCCGAGACAACAGGCTGCAACCAGCAACCCAAGGCAACAAGAACGCACAGGAGCAGACATGCATAAAGTATGGGCGGCCAAGAACCTGTGCGACCCTCAAATCCCTGAGCCCGAAAAGAGCCCTAGACGTTACCAACACAGCAGCAAAACCTGCAAACATCTGAACAGCATGGGTGCAAGGACAGACCGCAGGTTGGAAGACTTAAAAACTGTGCGGACGACCTGGGAGACCCGAGCCCTGAAACAGGGAACGAGGGGAACCGGATCAACCCACAGCGCATCCCCAGACACGGTAAACGGCAAAAAAGCGCAACCGGACAATACAGGACGCACCTCCGGCCAAACCAATCAAGCATCAATAACCCAAGAACCCCTCCAGAAAGCAGCCATCTCGACTGTTGCCAGAAGGACGGAGAAAGGCTGCAAACGTACAAACCTACCACCAGTACCAAAGAGTAGAAACTTGAACCGAAGGGGCTACCACAAACTGAGGAAAAGATAAAAAGGCACCCTGATCGAGGACCAGGGCGGCTCAGGCGACGCATGAGCAGGCAGGTGGTGAAACAAAACAGTAGAAGGCGTATGAAACGGGGCAGATGTGATGTCCACCCCAAACGCAAGCCGGAGCGGCTCCGCCAGCGCCGCACAAAACGTGGCGACAGTAAGAAACATAAAAAACTGTAGTCCTGAAAACCCAAGAAAGGACAAGACAACCCGATACAAAAGAGAAGACAACCCGATACGAAAGAGAAGACAACCTACGAAGAGCAAGAAAAAGTGCATAGAAACACCAGGAACGTCATACTGTCGCCGAGACGAAGCTCGCAGGTGGGACACCATCAACAAAGCCACCTGATCACCACAGAGATGGTGATACCCACGTCAAAAAACCGGACGCGAAGAGCCGAGGAGAAGGCCAAACCAATCATGTACAGGACCGGTCCGACCTGCCGAAAGAGGCGGAGCCGCGGAAAAACGCCCCGGGTTTGAACACCTATTAAGCAGCGTCTGAAAATAAAGCTGGGCCGGCCACCAAGGGACCATAATGACTACTCTCGTGGAATGGGCTCCAACCGAGCCAGAACCCAAGCAACAGCTGGACCGGGAGAAGAGGAACAGGTACCCCCACCTCGACCAGTCCTGCCGAAAGGCATCCACCGTGAACGCCTCGCAGGCGGGTAAGGGCGCCACATAGAATGGGTGACTCCTAGACTTCCATGGCCAGGAGTCCATACGTCTGGCAGAGCCAATGAAACGAGTCGGCGACGACTGGCCAATCCGCGAAAAGAGGAATGAACCGAGACAGCTCTCCGCCAGGACGCAGGACACACGCCGGACATGAACCTCACGGTTAGCCAAACCCCGAGAATCCAGCAAACGAGCCACTCTAAGGGACCAACCCCAAAGGTCAAACACCTAAGAGAAACCCTGTGGTTCCGGCAAAGAACCGCCAGAGAACAGTCCGAATGGAGCTGAATGGTAGAGCACCGAGTGACCTGAACCCTCCGAAGCGTACACCAGACAGCCATGAAGTCCAGAACCGGGCTGTTAGCCTGACGGACGGACAGCCCCTACCATCCCTGGCCGACCTGGTGAGCACTGGTCACAAAGTCCCAGCCGAGAGATGACCCGTCCGTGAACACATCAAGCAAAGGCTCGGGAAGGTGCCAAGGCACGGAACCCCGGAAACCCCAAAGAGGAAGCTGGTGACGCAGCACCAACACAAGATCCCCGGAGGAACGAACCCAACGATTGCAAGAGAGGCGGAAGGGGAGTCTCTGAAGGAACCAAATAGATTCCGAAGCCAAACCCGACCCCGCGGGCAGACCAGCACGTCAAAGTTCAGAATCCCGCACAACTACTCGAGCAACCGCCGAGCAACCCAGGACCCCTCATGAACAGCCGAAGGCGGGACCACAGCCGCAGCAACACTTCTGGAGGGAAAGACAAGGAACGGCCCAAGAGCCCTAAACAAGACCAAGCCAGGTCCGAACCCGGGACAGAAATAAATGGAATGGCCTCCGGATCACCAGGAAATCAAACCCGGCGATCAGGAAAGAACCACACCCTTGGCGAGCAGACAAGCGGACCGACTAGGAGCCAACACCAGCCAGTCGTCAAGGTAGGCCAGACACCTAATCCCAAGCAGAATCAGACAGGGCACCAAGATCCAGTAAAGATGCGTAAACACACCAAGTGCCAATTACAAAATAGGGAAGGCAACAAAAATGGTAAACCTGAAGCCCCACCACCAACTGTCAGTCCCAGAAAACTGGAGAGGAACATGCTAAGAAGTGACCTGGAGGACCAGGTCACTTATATATATATAGGGGAGCCGGTCGGCCGAGCGGACAGCACGCTGGACTTGTGATCCTGTGGTCCTGGGTTCGATCCCAGGCGCCGGCGAGAAACAATGGGCAGAGTTTCTTTCACCCTATGTCCCTGTTACCTAGCAGTAAAATAGGTACCTGGGTGTTAGTCAGCTGTCACAGGCTGCTTCCTGAGGGTGGAGGCCTGGTCGAGGACTGGGCCGCGGGGACACTAAAGCCCCGAAATCATCTCAAGATAACCTCAAGATAAGATAACCAGGACCACCATCCAGGCACCCGGCCCCAACAGAAGCCAGACAGGAGACAACAGTCCTCCGATGAGGGCATAGAATCCAGGGTGCAGACTGAAGAAATCCAGAAGAACCGCAGATTCGACAGGCCCATGTCTGCATAGAGCAGACGGGAACCCCAGAAGGATGGGGCGGATCGACCACATCCAATGCACCCACGAAGATGACATGACGAAGCGCAGGGGAAGAAGCCCACCCTGGCAGCCCTGAACCACACAAAGGTGGAGAAGCCGTCCACCGCCGCCACCAGAGGCCGGAAGACAACCAAAAGCGCCCACTAACTACGGGACCATGCGAGAGTCAGCAGAGCAAGCTGCTTCCCCAGCGCCCCATCAACAGAAAAGGGAACAGAGCCCCTTCCGAAAGAAAAAGTATACATACACATATACACCTACACACATTATATATATATATATATATATATATATATATATATATATATATATATATATATATATATATATATATATATATATATATATATATATATATATATATATATATATATATATATATATATATATATATATATATATATATATATATATATATATATATATATATATATATATATATATATATATATATATATATATATATATATATATATATATATATATATATATATATATATATATATATATATATATATATATATATATATATATATATATATATATATATATATATATATATATATATATATATATATATATATATATATATATATATATATATATATATATATATATATATATGTCGTACCTAGTAGCCAGAACTCACTTTTTGGCCTACTATTCAAGGCCCGATTTGCCTAATAAGCCAAGTTTTCCTGAATTAATATATTTTTTCTAATTTTTTTCTTATGAAATGATAAAGCTACCCATTTCATTATGTATGAGGTCAATTTTTTTTTATTGTAGTTAAAATTAACGTAGATATATGACCGAACCTAACCAACCCTACCTAACCTAACCTAACCTATCTTCATAGGTTAGGTTGGGTTAGGTTGCCGAAAAAGGTAGGTTAGGTTAGGTTAGGTAGGTTAGGTAGTCGAAAAAACATTAATTCATGAAAACTTGGCTTATTAGGCAAATCGGGCCTTGCATAGTAGGCTGAGAAGTGCGTTCTGGCTATTAGGTACGACATATATATATATATATATATATGCGAACAAGCCTGAATGGTCCCCAGGACATATGCAACTGAAAACTCACACCCCAGAAGTGACTCGAACCCATACTCCCAGAAGCAACGCAACTGGTATGTACAAGACGCCTTAATCCACTTGACCATCACGACCGGACATAATGAGGTGATAGCCGAGGCTATTTGAACCACCCCACCGCCGGCACTCGGATAGTTATCTTGGGCATAGCATTTTACCAAATCACCTCATTCTTTGGGGCACACGTGAGGAACACAAATGCGAACAAGCCTGAATGGTCCCCAGGACATATGCAACTGAAAACTCACACCCCAGAAGTGACTCGAACCCATACTCCCAGAAGCAACGCAACTGGTATGTAGTACAAGACGCCTTAATCCACTTGACCATCACGACCGGACATAATGAGGTGATAGCCGAGGCTATTTGAACCACCCCACCGCCGGCACTCGGATAGTTATCTTGGGCATAGCATTTTACCAAATCACCTCATTCTTTGGGGCACACGTGAGGAACACAAATGCGAACAAGCCTG